TGCAGGGAGCTGTCCTGGGAGTCGGGATGGTCTAGTTTGGTGGGAGTGTGGTTTAGCTCAGATGGGAATAGCAGGAGTTGAGGGAGAGCTGCCAGGAGCAGACCACGAAGAGTTCTGAAGGCCATGCTGAGGAGCGTAGACCTTTCCTTATGGCACCGCAAGTTCTGATTACAGGAAAATCCTAACCAGACCTGGGTATGTTAGCCACCCCCGGGTGATCCTAGCCAGCTGTCTCAGGAGTAAGGAGGCAGGAGCTTCGCTTCAATGGCAGCTCATGCGTCTTCCTGCATAACTTATGCCCAACGAAGCACTGAAATGAAATACCTGCATTTCTGCCTCTGCTTTGTCTTCTACAATGCGCAGAGCTGTTAGTAAAAAGTTAGAAGACACTGCAGCGCCCCTCCTCAAAGAGAGGCAATGTGATGGGTGGTAAGGAATCCCAGCTCTACAGTCAGATGACGTGAATCTGAAGCCCAGCTCAGCAATCTGACCTTGGGGTAAATTACTTAATTTATCTAAGCCTTAGTTTCCTCATCTGTACAATGGGGATAACAATTAAACCTACTCATAGGATCGCTAGCAGGATTAAATGAGACAATCACAGAGTGTGCATCATAACATTGACTGCTAATAAATTCTTTCTCACTGCCAATAATTATTATCATCACCACCACTAACAGATGGACCCTGATCTCTACCTTGATGCCTCCAGGGTCAGAGAGCTGACTATTTCCAAAGGCAGCCTGTCCCATTGTTGGGCAGGTCTGGTCCTTCAGCTCAGCTAGAATCTACTTCCGTGTAGCACCCACCCTTGGGTCCTTGCTGTACCAGGGCAACAAAGGAGCAGCTCTGGACCAGATCAACAACTGGCTCTCCTTCTCCTGGATCCTGCCTGAAGCTCCCTGCCGGTGGAAGTCAAGGGCACCACTTATACTTGTGGTGTGCCATCTGCACACTCTTGGTGTTCCCATTCAAGCACGTTTATCCTCCAAGAGGGATGCAGGGGCTCCTGACAGAGACTGTCAAAACCACCTAGGGGTGCCAGGCTGTGGTCAGGAGTGGCTCTGGGCTCCCAAATGAAAACTAGTTCAAGGTCTGCCCAGGTAGGCCCCTCTGGTCTCCTTGTGGGTTCCCTGGAGAGCCCGAGGCTCAGAGTGGCCAGCTCTGGAGGGTCTTCTGCTTCCTGGTCCAGGCCTCTCCCCGTCCACAGAGTGGCAAAGGTGGTCCTCCTGCCCCGGCCCCTCCCTCCCCCTCCTTTGCCAACATGACGATGCCTCATACCAGCCAATCCAGTCTAGGGTCAGGGCAGAAGGAACCTGCGGGTGGAGGTCATGCTAAACTCTGGTCTTGCTGCCTCATAAAGGAAAAGGATGGCTTTCCAGGAAGAACAGATCCTCCAGCAATTAAATCCTCCTTCTCTCATCTGCATTTCTGTCCCTGGTGGCAGATTTTTATCACCATCCCCAGGGCAAGACAATCTTGTTTCCCCAACAAAACCCATTATGTACATCAGGCCAGGGATTAATCACCAGCACAGGGTTGGGAGCCAATAAAAAAGGCAGAGATGGGAGGATAGTGCGGGAGGGAGGCAGGGGAGCTCCTCCCTGCTCTGTGAAGCCGAGGAAAAGGCTGGGGCCTGGCTGGGCTGGAGGTGTGGCTGCTTCACGCTCACGCTTCCGGCAGTAAACCTGCCCTTGCTGAGACCCTGTTTTCTCTCCCTCCTCTCCTCTCTCCCTGCTTGGCAGTGTCCTGGGCAGAGAAGGGCAGCCCAGCCCAGAGCTCCAGTGTGTGGGCACAGCCAGGTGCCCTTGGAGGGCCACCTGCATGTCCCACCTGAATTGTCCTCCAAAGAGACGATGTCCCTCCCTTACTCAGCTCAAGTTGTTGCATGCCCCCACTGCTTCACTGGACCCAGGCCCACCATTAGCAATAGTAGGGTTCTTCTCTGGGGCCAGGGGATACAGGGACTCTGGCCACAGCCGTGGTCATGGCCATAGATGCTGGAAGCAAGCCTCTGTCTTCCCTCCCCAGTCATTTCCTCCACCCCGGTCTGGGCAGTGCCCCCGCCCACCACTCAGCCATCCTCAGCTGGGCTCAGCAGGGCAAGTCTTCTTCACACCTGGGGCAGGGCTGCCTTTGCCCCCAGTAGCACTAGAGCGGCAAACTATGGCCAGGGGCACCCTCACAGCACGGGCTCCCTGGCCCTGATACCACCTTGACTTTGAGGCAGTAGTCCTGGCAGCTGGGAAGAAGTGGCGTGGGGAGGTGGCTTACCTGTACTCCAGGGAGAACTTGGTCAGCTCTCGGTTGTTATGGAGCCACTTGAACTCCAGGGGCCAGCTGCCCTCAGCCATGCAGGTGAGCACCAGGCGGTTCCCCTCCAGGTGCACCTGTGTCCGCACTGGCTCTGTCTTGAAATATGGTGACACGTCATCTGGGGGAAACAGGGACGGAGGGCCACCAGTTAGCACTTGTTCATCTAGATGTGTTAGCTCATTTAATATCCTAACGGCCCTAAACAGGTAGAGCAGGTACCAGCCAGGTAACCTGTTCAAGGCCACATGGCTGAGAAGGATTTGAACTCAGATCAGTCGGCTTGGTTTCCTTCAAGCTTCACTCAGTCTCTCAAAGTTAGTGGGAGTCCTCCATGCCTACCAACTCGGCTCCTGCTTCCCCCTCCCCACCCGTCCTCTCCCCAGGGACTACTCCAGGGTCATCCACCTCTGCTGCCCCCCTTTGCCCCATCATTTTCTTTCTCTCCTCGCTCGAGATTCCCATCCATTCCATATCCTTTGCCAGGGAGGAAGGAAGGAAGAAAAGGTGCTTACTGCCTCTCTGCTGAAGGGAATATAAATTGCATAAGGAAAATAGGGAGGTGGGTTGATAGAAGCTGCAGGTGACGGGGGTGTCTAGAGTCCTGCTCCCCAAGGCTGGAGGAAACCCCTCAAAGGCAGCAAGGGCAAAGTCCTTCCTCTGGCTGGAATACTGCCCCCACCTCCTCTGCGTTCCTTCTGAGGTGTCTCTGGGTGGACTCGAACCTCCAGTCTTTTGGTTAGCAGCCGAGCTCATAAACCGTTTGCACCACCCCGGGACTCTCCTATGAAATCGGAGGATGGAAAACCACGAGACCTTTCTCTTTTGGGCGAAGAAACGGAACAAGCTAAAGGAAGAAGAGGAGAGGAGTGGGGGCGGGGGGGTGGGGAGCTAAGGGTAGAAGGAAGGAACCCAGACACCATGGCAGGCTGGCCAGCCAGCTGGAGGTGCGTGCAGTGGGGCCTCTCCTGCACCCCAGGCTGACTTCTGGGAAGTGTGAGGGAGGCCTGGGGATCCTGACCCCAACATCTGTCCTTGCACCCTCGGATTTAGCCAGTATTGGGTGTCTGCAGTCTTTGAACAGGCTCAGCCTATGCCAAGGTCTCCCTCTGGGCCCAAGCACAAACACACAACTCAACGAAGCCGGAGGGGACGTTTGGGGCCCAGGTCAACTGTCTGTGCTGCAAAGCATCCCCATCCCCCTGCACCCTCATGCCCAAGGTCTCAATCTTATGAGCATATAACTTATGACTGTTTGGGGGAGTCCTCCTCGGACCCCCAACCCTGCTACGAATCTCACTGTGGGTGGAGGCCAACAGAGGGGTACCTGGTGCTAGCCAGGAGGGGCATGAAGCTGAGAGGGGGCTGCACTGGGGGTGGGGGGAGAGGCAGTGCACATGAACAGCCACCCCTGATGGCTATCTCTACCCATCTCTTGGTCTGGCTGCGGACGTTTCCATCACATACGTCACGCTGCTCTAAATAACTGTCATGTGAACATACTGCCTTGAACACAGCTGCAAAGATGCCTCTTTGAAAGCATGTACTCAGAGGAGGTAACCACCCCCGCTCCCCTGCCCTCCACCCCCAGCTGTGCCCCTGGGGTCCTCAGCCACTCTGGCTGGGCGGCTGGAGGACGGAGAAGCCAGCAGCACCCATTTGCCAAGGAAAGCGCCTTGTTGCCACTGTGACAGCCGGCTCTGCTCTCAGCCTAACAAATGGGAGCACTCTCACTTCAAAGGCATGTTCACATTCGCCAGCAGCTTTCAAGAGCCCTTTGAATTGCGTTTTTAAAAACCCTCCCTTAGTTCCTGTCATCACTCATTGGTTTTAAAACAATAACATTCCCAGCCCCTGAGTGAATAAATCCCCTGGATGGGGGACTGACTCACAGCCCTAACAGAAGCAGGCGGGCGGGCGGGCGTGTGTGCTTACACACACGCGCATGCACACACGCACGCATGCATGCACACGTGCATACACACAGAAGTATGCACATACGCGCATGCATACACACGCACACATGCACACATGCACGCACACACTCCGCACCCAGACACCTCGCCTCTGTAGACCTGCTCACTGGGCAATTTGCTCCCAGGGCTGCCTTTGCCAGTTCATCCTTCAGGCTCTCCTGAGGGTGCCAGCCTGGAGCTGAATGCCTTTTGCTTGGATGGGCTGATTCCAGTGGCTGCCAGAGATAATGACTTGGGGGAAGAGGAAGGAGGGTGGGAGACCCTTTCTGAGAACGCGCCGGTGCTGGGCCCTGGGCTGGAGCCGTGCACCCTCACATCTCACGTTATTCTCACAGGCTGCGGGGAGGGGGGACGTGCTCCAGCAGGGGAGGGAGCCGGGGTGGGGTGGGGGCAGATGGGAAGCAGTGCATAGCCTCCTCTCCTCCCCCAGCCCCCGCGGGGTGGTCACCCTGCCTCCCTAAAGCCCCCTGCCATCTGCGTGCGGGCGGCGGCTCTGCCCAGGAATGAGAACAGTGGCTTTTCTCCACGGCCTGCCCTGGTCTGACAGCAGGAGCTGGTGGAAGTGCTGGGAGTGTGTGTGATGGAGGAGGAAAGACACACTGATGGGGAAAGACGGGCTGGGGAAGAACAGTGTGCGTGTGTGTGTGTGTGTGTGTGTGTGTGTGTTTGTGTGTGTGTGTGTGCATCTGTGCATGCACTTCTGTGTGTACTCATGGGTGTCTCGGTGTGTCTGCATATCTGGCCCTGTGTGTGTGTCTGTCTCAGCGTGTGTGTATCTGCGTATGTACATCTGTGTGTATTCATGGTGTCTCGATGTGTCTGTGTATCTGGCCCCGTGGGTGTGTCTGTCTGTCTCAGCGTGTGTCTGCGTGTGTGCATCTGCGTATGTATGTCAGAGTGTGCTCGTGTGTGTCTCTGTATCTGCTGCCGTGTGTGTGCCGGTGTGCCTATTTGTCTGTTTGCGTGTCTGGGTGTGTGTTTATGTGTAGGAACAGATTCCTGTGCCATGAATGGGTAACACAAAGCATTGACTTTGGGCAAGCTACTTCACTTCTTTGCATCTTAGTTTCCTTAGCTATAAATTGGGTACAAGTTTGTTGTAAGTATTCAATAAATTAATAAACATAAAGTGCTTAGAACACACCTGCCATGTACTATAGAGGAGGAGTAGTTATTATTCCTACTGATCAAGCATGAAGATGGTAGATTAACGCAGAGAGAACAGCTGGCAGCTGATCAGGAGCTCCCCTCAGCCTCAGTTCTAGGATTGGTCAGTAGACAACCTGCACAGCTGTACATGACAACTCTGTTAGGCACCCTCTCAGTGGGATGGGCATGACTGAGAATGGAGGGGCAACTGGGGACAGAAAGAATCAACCTCATAAAGGTGTCATTTTCTTAAACTCTTCCTCAGCTTCGAAAACACACATGAATAATTTTTGTTTTAACTAGACGAAGTATTTTTAGTGTTCACAGAAAAAAACAAAAGACTAGACAAGAAAATTCTGGGAAAGTACGTCCATGAGAGGAGACCAGCACCACCAGATGCTGGGCTATATTATAAAGCTGCAATAATTAAAACAGTGTGCTCCTGTATGAACAGACTGGTGATGGAACAGACAAGGGAGTCTAGAAATAGACCCCAATACATATGGGATTATTGACTCTATGCTGAAGGCAGAATTTCAAATCTATGGGGAAAAGATCAGTTATTCAGCAAATGGGTTTGGAATAGCTAGGGAGCCATTTGGGGGGAAAAAGGAAGTTGAATCTCTTCCTCACACTTTACCTCAAAATAAATGCTAGATAGATCAAAGTTTTAAACGAGATGAAATGCTTAAAGAACTAGGGGAAAAAATCACAGAAGTTTAAAAATAGATAATCTGGCAAAGAAAAGGAACTCGCCAAGTACTTTCTAAGTACTAGCCAAAATTCAGAGGGTCATAAAACAGATTGATACCTTCAACTATGTAAAAATTCTGCATGAAAAAAGAAAACCCTCAGAAAGGATAAATGACAAAATTATTTGCAGCTCTTATCACGGACAAAGAGCTAATTTTCCTGATATAAAGAATGTTGTCACAAACCTGTAAGAAAAAGAGTAACAAACCAATAGAAAAATGGGCAAAGGATATGAAGAATTCACAGAAAGGAATTACAAATGACTCTGAAATATGTGCTGAGATGCTCCACCACATGGCAAGAGAAAAGCAAACCAGAACTCCAGGAAACACTGACTTTTCCCTATCAACCTGGCCGCGATCTAGAAGTTTGATAATATCGCAAGCTGGCCAGCGTGTGGATAAACAGGTATGTTCACACACAGCTTGGTGGGACTATAGTTTGGTACGATATTATTGGACAGCAATTTGGCAATATCTTGTATCGAATCTCAAAATGTACACACCCTCTGATCCATGAAATCTTCATCAAAGAATTTCTCCTCTACAGGTATACCTGTGCAGGTGGGAAATGACAGCATCCCACAGCGGTGCTGTTTGTAACAGCCAAGGCTTGGAAACAACCTGAATGTCTGGCAAGCGGGCACCTGTTAAAGAAATGATTGTACCTCCAAACCACGGAATTCACCGCAGCCTAGGGCTCCGTCTGGAACAGTCTTTGAGAACTCCTGTTAAATGGGGGAAAACAATGTGCAGGGCTGGGTGCATGATATGCTACTATTTGCGTACAAGATGTTTTTCGTGGAGTATAAGAATTTATTCGCTTGTATAGGCATAGATTTTCTAGGAGGTGATATAAAAAACCGGCTTCAGGGATGCTTCTAGGGAGGAGAACTGGGGGCTGGCAGCTCGGCAGGGAGGGAGAATGGCTTTTCATTCTGTACACTTTTGTAGCTTTTATATTGCGTATCACAGGTATGGATTATTCGTTTATAATCAGATATGTGTGTGTGAATGTGTGCGTATTATATGTATGTGTGTGTATTAAGGTCCCTGAATGGCACAAAAGGTTTGGGCTTGGCTGCTAACCAAAACGAAGAAAGGCCTGGCGATCTGCTTCTGAAAGATTACAGCCAAGAAAACCCTATGGAGCAGTTCTACTCGGGTCACCTTGAGTCGGAATTGTAGACGGAGGAAAGGGCAGGCCCTCAGTAACTCAGGGGTGTCCTGTGGCTGCGGGGCCCTGATCGCCAGAGCCTGAGCCCCTGGAATGAAGAGTTGCCCTCAGAGGTGGCAAGAGGCCTCAGCCCTGGGCATCCTTCTAATTTCCCCTAACAGGTCAGGGGTCCCCTGATTGCCATTTTCCCTTGATATACTCTCTAAATAACGCCATTGTCATCCTCAGACTCCAGGCTCCAGGCTAAATGGCCCCACACAGAAGCTAATCTCAACGTCTCCCCTCCCCTGAGCCCCGAGCACAATAACGTCATTGTTCTCTGGAGTCTCTGGCTCCCTCTGGCTGCCTCCATCTCCCTGCTCCAAGGGGATGTGACTTCTCAGCCAGCCCAGGCCTGGGAATAGCACGTCCCTGAGCCAGAACCTCGTTCTCCCCTGCTGG